ATAATGCCTGTATCATGCCCTCAAATGGACTAGACTGACCTGACAGCGCTGTAGAAGCTCCAAGCCCTCTCAAGTTTGCATAAAACCCTTCTGCCTCTTTCCTCAGATGTTCACACTCCCCCAGCCTTTCCTCTGCCAGTGCTGTGAACATAAGAAGCTGAGACAGAGGACCTTGCCCTCACCATTCCAAAAAATCATACTCTGCACAAGCAGTAATGTCATGCCCCAGCCCAGAGGCAGAGGCACACTTTTCTGTTCCCTCTGCACTCAGCAAGGGCTGGTCTGACAAAGCTGCACTGAGACATCTTCCACACCTCCAGGCCCATTTCTCAGCCTGGCGATGAAGTGATGATACAGCAAGACAAAAAAAACCTCATCTTGGGGTCAGTTTTACACTGCCTCACAGAGCGGGGAACCTCAGATATTATTAACCTTTGTCAGTCGAGCTACAGAAAGGTCAATCTGGTCTTCAGCATCAAAACATCTCATCAGTGAGAGGTCAATGGGTGAATCTTCTGTCCTCAAACTGCCACCTGAGGCAGGCACATCGTTAGCACAGACAGACTGAGGCCTTGGTTCCGGCACAAACAATATACAGAACAGCACTACCCAGACAGCATTAACAAAAGCAGGCATTAGTGCCAAAGTTAAAGCTTCACTTGTCAAGTGGGTGGGTCATGCATGTGTACTGTAATAACTTTTGCTACAGGAACACTGCACCAGGTCCTGCTGCCTTTCAAGTATCTTGATTTCTTTGGCACAGGGCTACTGCCTTCTGTATCATCAGTATCCAAACCAAGTTCTCTCTTCTTCCCTCCCAGTTTTTCCATACTGGTCTGTAACCATTCACAAAAGAGAGGGAGAACAGCTCTGAAGAAATAGAATACACTTTTCTGAGGCAGCACTCAACTCCCTTGAGGGGACAATCCATTCTTTTTCTTTCATGCTACTGTCAATCACTTTTCACATGTTGCACTAAGGAAGCCTCCTTCCCTGTGATTCATCCCCAGATTGCATCCATCCCCAGCTCTTCATAAGGAGGCAGCTCACACATCTTCCATCTTCTTTTCCATGAACAGATAAGGCCCCATGTGCTGTATGAGGGGAGGAGAGGGGCGGGTAGCAGACACCCAGCATGAAGCAACAGCTACAGATCTTCTTCTAGCAGGGGTCCCTTCGAACATCCCAATTTCTCTCTGAGAACACACATCAGAGGAGCAGATCAGACTGAGACCACCAGCTGCATCCAGCACATGAGGAGGTCTGGAGGCAGAACAGCTCCAGCAATGCCAGCATGTTGCCATACCATAGTGAGGAAGCACAAAGGCAGGAGCTAGTTGAGAGTAACTTGACAGAGATGATGCAACAGCATGGGAGCTGGTAATGAGGGCCAGCCTCAGGGAGGTGTGCATGCCACACTACTCTGCAAAGCTGTGTTGGCACTTTTTCTTTCCTGCTGTTACCTGAGTCCTTCAGCTTTATCTACTCTAGATGTGACAGCCTGCAACTGCGGGCTTCATGAGGCTGTGTTCATGATACTTGCATATAAAAAAATCCTGTCCTCACCAGCAATTCTGTTGTTTTAGGACTCATTTCTATAGAATAGAAACCTGAACTACTGCCGAGAGTAGGAGAGTGGAAGACAGACACCCATGATAAAGTCTCTCATGACTACAAGGGATCAACAGCAAAATAGTCTTTGAGTTATTATGCATAACGTGCAAAAGTAGGACAAACCCAAGACAGACTATGGGGTGGCTGGTCCAACCTTTGCTGCACTCAAGGGCGCAAGATAAAATTGAATAAGCTCTGCAACAGAGGGACAGCTGAGGAACACAAGCCACCAGATGGACTGCATCTGACTGCAGAGCACTGCCCCAGCACAGTACCAAACTGTCAAATGTAGGCTCTACAGTCCAGGTCACTGGAGTATGATGATCTCACACCCCTTGGTATGACTGGTTTACACCTTCACCACAGTCACAAAAACACTAACACATCCTCAGAAAGTGTTACTCAGCTTGGGCTTCCACATTACTTCTTTATTCCCTCTTTTTTCCCATCCAGCTGAGCCCCCCACATCTGCTCCTAGTTTAACACTCATGCTAAGCACTCAGTGTTCCAGTCTATCTGTGAACTGGAGCTCCAGGTTACCAAGGAAATCTGTAGCCAGAGGAAACAACTGAATGAGTCTTCTTTGCATTAAAATTTCATGTCCTACATACCAAGTCATCCCTTTCCCTTGAAAGCTTTGTTGTGGCTCTGTAGGAATTGCTTCTACAGATCATGCTTAGAGTTCAACAGCCATACCAGAAGTCCGTGTAAAGTGAGAATACCAGAGGAGACATTTTTCCTCTGAAGAAAATGTTCTCTGCACAGCTGTGCAGTCAGGAGTCTTGCCCTGAACAGCTTCCCCACGTGAACAGGGACCTAACATCCACCCAAAATGTGTCATTAATGCCTCATCCTCAGAATGTCACACAGTTACGGAGCCACTTGGCTGAGAAAAACAATCAGCACACCCCAGAAACCTTTACAGAGTACTGCAAAGGAACTGCAGGTCTCAGGGAGCTGCTCTCTTTCTCCCACCTTGACACACAGCTCTCTGCTCCTGATGGCTTAATACAGACCTTCTGCTCCACCTCTACTCTGCAGCAAGGGCTCAAACCAAAACCACAGGCTCTGCTGCCAGCTGAGGACAGTCTTCCTCACTTCACTGGTGTGAGTGAGTGGAAAATACTGGAAAGAGGGAATTGCAGAAGGTAGCAAAAAAAAGTGAGGCAATGAATTTGGCTCCACTGACCTCAGGGGTGCAGTTGCCTCTCAGCTCCAGCATCAGCTGAAAGGGAAGTTGGACTTCCATGGCTTTTCTGCTTGTTCAAGACTTACACAGGCTGCTGTGCAGAGCATAACAAGGGAACAAGAAAAAGGGAAAGGATGTCTGTCTCAAAGATATATATTCAAGTGCTGTTCCAGCAGACAGTGGCACATTACAACCTTGCTGTTTACACTCGCACTAGAATAATTAGAGCAGTCACTGTTAACTAGCTAACAACTTCACTATACACTTCGAACAATATTGAAGAATTAATCGCAACATTTCACAGCCTTCCCTGAACACACCAATCTGCAGAAACACTGAAACCACTCCAGAGACAAAACAGCTAAATTAATCCCACACAGCTTCTGGCAGAAAGAACTACAACTATTTCAGAGGTACTCGCCCTAAAATAATGCCTACTCAGGGCAACAACCCAAAAGAAACAAGTCCTCAACAAACCACACCTTTATCCACAAGGCATGACTCAGCTCATGCACTGGATGCCATCAAGAAATAAAATACAAGGGTTCATATTCAGCCAGATTCACTCCCTAAATGAGCAGGTTTCTGGGCTGAGAAGCCCCCAGCTGGTATGGGACAGCCTTCCCTTTCAGCTGCAAGCCTCTGCCCACTGTGTCCTCAGAAAGTTTTGACCTTTCAGAACTTCCCCATCCAGGGACACCAGCACAGGAAAGCAATAAAGAAAATTCTCCAATGTCATGCACTTCACACTTATGACATATTTATGCTTCTCCCTCTGTTTCTGTCCATATCACTTATGCCAAAAACAAAACTGAAAAGAGCAATGGAACAGGAAAATGTTTCTAAAGATTTAACCCAGTAGGAAAAGTGACCAACAAATCCAGACTGCAAATTCCTAAACAAGTTAGAATGCAAGTTATGCAGTGCTTGACCCTGTCATTAATGATGAAGTCTATAAAATTACTGTATTTGCATAGGGTACAAGGAAAAAATAGACTGGAAAGCAACACAGTAGCTGGATACTAGGAAAATAGGAAAGACTGTATTAAATTTCCAGATTGGATTTTTTGATAGCCCTGATTGTTTCTCTGGAAAACAATGCTACAGTTGGTAACTGATAGCAACTCTTGAAGAAAGGTGTAAGTCTCCCCTAGGAACCCACGGAGACCTCGCTGCTTCACCACATCTCTGGTTTTATCCCTTTTTCCCTGTGCCTGTCACCAGGTACCACCTCTCACCCAGACCAACACCAGGGGCTCCCATCCTCAGGATGGGCAGCTCCTGAGGTGCATTACAATTGCTAGTGCAGAGCTGCCACTTCTGCCCAGGGCCTGAGCAGCTCCATCTCTTGACAGTTCTGTCACATCCTGATCTGGTGCAGATGTTCCTAACTGAACATGTTTTTCTGTGGTTAAAGACTCTGTCCTTCCTGTTGGGAACTGCATAAGCCTGAGAAACACGTCAGTTTCAAAGGAAACTGGCATGTATATTCACATGTTCAGAAACATGCAGGTATGCTTACACCTCACCTACCACCACAAGTCAGCAGCCATCCTCCCATTCATCCGTGAAAGTCACTGCAGCTTCTTCCCACCTGTATCTTTCAGATTAGTGTCCTACCCCAATTTATCAATTATCAGCATTTCTCCTCTCCAGATTTCAGACATTTTTCTCCAACCACAGCTTAACTGCTACCTTAATTAAAACATGCCTGATTACATGACATTATTTGGTATCATTCATTTATCTGCTGTACCCAATGCTTTGTCTATCACAGACATCTCTACCTGACCTTCAGATTTGCCACCATGACTGCAGTATATGTCAGCAATTGCTTCTGTACACTTCAGTCATCACCACTGCTTTTACAAACAGCCACCCACATTCATTTATTCAACCACATATCTTCTGCTCATGGGTCACCGCCCTGCATGTTGGATGCTTGGTTCCCCAAGCAAGTGACATCCTATGCCAAAAAATAAAGGACTGAAGAACAGAGAAGAAACCAGTAAGGGAATGACGAAAGAGGAAGGATTTTGATAAGAGGTACTGTAGAGGTCGTTTTCCCCAGATGTGTCCAAGGTCCTACCTTTTAAGGTACAAGCCAACAACATTTTATCTCATACAGACTTTATATTTGGCTTCATACTGACAGCCCAGTTCTCACTTTCATCCAAAAGACAAAGTGGTAACTTGCCTCCTCACTGGTTCTCAGCAAAGGAACAGTCTCAGCTTCCTGTCTTCTCCAATGGCCAAACTTCAGCAGCAATGCAGGGCTGAGCAGCAGCAAACATCTGACAGAGGCTGTCCAAGAAGAAATCCCCCACCCCAAGTCAGAGATGGGTAGAAATCCACACAAAAGCAGAGCCTGCCTCGTCTCACACCCAGTGTTTGTCAGTGCTTTTTGCTGCTGAACAGACCCAGCCACCGGCACTTCAGGGCAGCAATAGGTATGTTCTCTCCAGGCATCTTCAAAGCAGAGTAATTGCACATATTGATTTCAGATGTTATCAGACAAACTGCTCCTACAACTCCAGCACAGAAAATCCTCACACTGAGCTCCTCACTAACACACACACACCTTCTCCTCCACTTCTTTAGCACACTGATTTGCATCAGATCTATCCTCTCTGCCCCTCAGGCAGGCAGATGCAGCCTCTGGAGACACAAGCCACCCTGCTAATAGCCTGCAGAAGCCATTAAGCACCCTCAGCCTTTTGCTGAACCCTCTTACTGAAGAAGTTTCTCCCCCCGCCCCGCTCCCAGGTAGCAGTGACTCTAGAAAGGCTCTCCTAAGGTCAGGACTGACATGTAACAGAAGACTTGGCTTTCAGACAGGACTGTTCTGTCTGCAGAGGCTGGCACAAACGACTGGGTGCATACACCCTTCAGTAACTGCAGGGAACTAAAACCAGCAAGAAGAGATGCTGTACTCTGGCAAGCAGATCCTTGGCTGAAGTACAGTGACACATAGCACAGTGCCACCTCTTCAAACCCAGCCAAGGTCTAAACCACACAAGCACTTGTGGTGACCACTACCTAAACAGAGCTTCTTCCTCCATCAAACAGAACATTGCTGCGCTGTCCTTCCAAATACCTCCTCTGCTGCAGGCTGATGGGATTACCACTGTAGCCACTGCACAAGAGCCCATAAGGGGAATGCCACAGTCTCTCCCCAGCAAAAGAAAACCGAGCCTTGAAAGTCTGGTTAATACAAGGACAATTAATTGTATCAGGCAAGACATTCAGTGCTTAACAAACACCCTCATTTGGATGTGAAAGCCAGAGCAGAAGTAAAGAACCAGCAGCCTGTGTGCAGTGGTGGGGGCACCTTGATGCTCTCTGGAGCAAGGTCTCCTTGTGGCTCAGTGCCAGAAGCAGCTGGATGAGCAGCTCTGCCCACCCCTCTCTGGGCTATGAGCTGTCCTGGGAGCATATGCACGCATATGTCCCACTTCAAGCATTCCAGCTTCAACCCCCAAGACATCCCAAAAGCAAGAAGAAACAGCTCGAGTCAGCTCCAGATTGAAGATTTTCACACCAGTGAACACAGTACACAGTAGCCCAGTACTTACTGCGTCTTAAAGCCCAGCCTTCACACTGTATCAAACAATAACATACCTGAACTCCTCGCCGGAATAGTAAGAGGCTGGTGCTTGGTGCTTATGCTCCTGGTTGCTAAGATCTGCCCTTCTCAGGTACAAGCTGAAGAAGCAAGCCCAGGAAAGCAATTTACTGCTACGTCTGGAGATTAATCCTAGTCACACCACACACCCCAGCCTGAGCCCAGGGTGCAGCACAGCAAGCCAAGCCATGTGCAGGGACATGCTGGAGCACGGCCCCAGCATGGTTTTTCTCTCCAAGCAACTGAGATAATAGCTCCCTGCTTGCCTTATCCAGTTTCAAAAGCAACACTTCAAAGCCATCCCATGTCAAACACCAGAACAAATTGAAGCTGCCAGAGATGCCTCACAGGGAGGAAATCAACACACAATGGGAAATGGCACTGTTAAAATCAACCACAGACTACTGCAAATAGAAAAGTAAGTTTCCCATTAAACAAAACCTATCCCATTAAGTTACAACTACAACAGACTGTCAATTTCAGCTCCACCGGAGCCGCTGAAGAAAGCTGTATCCCTGCAGGATCAGCAGTTTTCCTCGCTCACTGCACACAGGCCGTTGAGAGCTGCGGTTTATTTACCTCAGAGCAAGGTAAGCGTAGGGAGGAAGGCAAATCCTCTTCACGCCAGCCTGGCGTGTGCTCTGAGACCGTGCCAGGGCAGCTCAGACCGAAGCACTGACCCCGAGACAACCCAAACGCTGAGGAGCTCACAGTGGTCCCCAAGGGCAGCAATGGCTGGGAGGCTGTGACAAACCCGCACGGAGCTCACCACACCTCGCACCTTCTCTGCCCCCCTCAAGAAAACGGAGCAAGATGAGCGGTGCGGCGAGTAAACTGCTCAAAATCACGGGATTTTTTTTTTAAGGATTTGGGTTTTCCCATTTATTTTGGGCTCGGTAAAAGCAACCCCTCTGGAGCTGCGGCTGCCCGGCACCGCACCGCGCCACCCGGGGAATGAGGCAGCACCGGCCTGAGGGAACCCACACGCACCGCCTGCCCCGACACCCCTCCGACAGCGCAGCTCTGACCGCACCGCCCCCTGCCCGCGGACCAAACCCGGCTGTTCCCCCCCTGCACCCGCCGCACTGCACCTGCTCCACGCCGGGGAGCGGCCGCCGGGCCCCGGAGCCACGGGCGGGCAGCGGGGCTGGAGCGCGGCCCCTCCCGCTGAGGTGACCGGAGCCCCCCTCCGCTCACCTGCGCCGCGGCACCTCCCGGCTCCAACGCTCCCCGTCCGCGCGCGCTGCCCGCCATTGGCCGCGCACGGGCCCCGAGCGCCCCCGCCCGCGGGGCGTAAGGAACCGCCCGCCCGCCCGCTCCCATTGGCTGGCGCCGGCCGCACCTCCCGCCGGCCGCGGCCCGTGAGGGTGAGGCGGTGCCGGGGCTCCCGCCGTGCCCTGCCCCGACGCGCGTTTTGGGGTAAAACAGCCCTTTTTCGGGGCTGTGCGGTGCCCCGCTAGAAGCACACGTGGGGCTGGGGACAGGTTCCTGGGTTCAGACACTGGGATTTTTGCCGGTATCAGCAGGCTCCGCTGGGCCTGGGGCAGTGGTGCCAGGCAGCAGGATGGGGTGAGACGGACACGGTGTGGGCACGCCGGTGGCTGGGCTGTGGGGTGGTTCTCCTGGTGCCAAAGCAGCGTGTTCTCCTCTGGCACTGAGGGGGCGGCGGAGGGAGCACACCTCACACATCCTGGGCAGGGTAGGATTGCTCTCGGGGGTGCTGGCATGGGACAGTGTCATCCAGGCTCTAACACTCAACCCTGACATTATGTACAAGCATGCTCTGAAGCCTGAAGGCAGTGGGCAGAAACAGTGTCGTGGTTTAAGGCTGAACCCAGGACACACTGCACACCAGCTAATTCCACTGCCACGGCTCAAGGAATTCCTACAAGCAGACGTCCTCCTATGTTTTATGACTCATGCCTTGGCTTTATATTTCCCTCCCAGTCTCTTTTACCTACTTGGCTCGCAGCTGACTCTGCCTCTGGGTCGAGGGGTTCCCACTGCAGCCCTGCACCCAGCTGTTAAATGTGTTTCCTGTGGGATTCATTGAGGATGTTGATTTTGTGATAAGTGACTCTCGCTCAGGCTTGCCGGGCTCCGCTGTGACAGGCAGGGTCCCCACCAGGGGACCTTGGCTTTAGCCAGAGAGCAAGAGTTGGATTAAATCAACATCCTGACTCAACCCACTGCAGACTGCTGCTCCTTCCCACTGGGACAGCAAGCAGATAAAAATTGCCTTTCAGTGGGTATCAAATAATCTTCTGCTTTAGAAACAAATGTGTTTCTTACCACGGGTTTCATATCTCAAAACAACTCAACAGCTTGTGTGCAGCTTGTGGTTTACTACCAACTTTGTTTCCCATCCCCAAAAGCCTGACTCAGGTTGTCACTGAGTTCAGAGAAGCATCAAAATGTAGTTAAGATGATACGCTAATTATTAGGGAACTGGAGTTGTTTAGCTGGAGGAAAGGAAGCTGAGGGGAGACCTTATTGTTCTCTACAACTACCTGAAAGGAGATTGTAGTGAGATAGAAGTCGGTCTCTTCTCCCAAGTAACAAGTGATAGGACAAGAGAAATGGCCTCAAGCTGCACCAGGGGAGGTTTAGACTGGGTATTAGGAAAATGTCTTCCCCCAAAGAGTTGTCAAGCACTGGAACAGGCTGCCCAGAGAAGTACAGTGCTGGGTTAAGAGTTGGAATCAATGATCTTCAGGGTCTTTCCCAGCTTAACAATTCTGTGATTGTAACAGGACAGCAGAGTGCTTATGACCTCAAGTTAGAACCATGGAATAGTTAGGGTTGGAAAGGACCTTAAGATCATCTAGTTCCAAGCCCCCTGCCATAGGCTTCCAAAGATGTTCCCTTCTTCCAGCATCTCTCGATATTAGCTAATGATCACTGATATCACCTCGAGACAGTCACCAGCCTGAGCTTCTGTGTGGGGGTTGGAATGTATCGGAACTGGCAGAGACCATGGGAAGGAGAAACTACAGCAGGCAATTAAGAATGATCGTGGACAGGAGGAACCGCAGAAGGCAATTAAAGAGTGACCTGCCCCTGACTGGTACTTGGAAGATGTTGGAACTGGCAAGGAACAGAGACGTCGGAACTGGGAAGAGGATGTCGATAAGAAAATCAGATGGACCTTTCACCTGATGTAACCGTAAGGCAGGCACAGATGTGCTTGGCTAATTGCTTGAGAGTGTATAAATATCGTGTAATCTTTGCAATAAACGATCCAGCTTGCACTCTGCCTCTGGGTCCGTGCCTCCATCCTCACACTTCTGGGCTCTCTGTTGGCCATGGTGGACTCTGGATATATCCATGAGCTAAAGTAAAGCCTCCTCAAGCCCTGAACAGTAAAAGCCCCAGCAAACTCCTTTCTGGATGTATCCATGAGCTAAAGTAAAGCCTCCTCAAGCCCTGAACAGTAAAAACCCCAGCAAACTCCTTGGATGCCCAGGTAGAAGAGCCTAGGACCCAGGAAGTGGCTGCGTCTATGGACAGACTGCTCCTATGGCTCCAGGGCATGAGAGTTGCTTGAAAAGACCATAACATACATAACATAAAATACTAATGTGTTTCACATGGGCTTGCAATTCAATCAAGCAGGGCCTTGCTCATACATGTTCAACTTAGCATCTCTTGAGCAGTGAGTAAAGCTCCTCTCTTCCTG